GATCCTGGCAATTCGCCAACTGAATTTCCATGTCACCTATTTAATAAGACAGGGAAATGGTTTCTTGGTCTCTTGCTAGGCAGCATCAATGCCCAGTCTCAACAGCAAGCAGCCATAAGATAGCTTTCAAGCCTTTGACACCCCTTTTAAGATTACAAGGGACCAAAGTCATTCGGGGGGAAATGAAGCTGGATTAGATAGATGATGACAGGGAAACCTAAAAATAAAAAGAAGTCACTCCAAGATTTAAATATTTTATATATGAATAAAATGTCACACTATAACAGTGGCCACGCTATTGGGAATTATGCCTGACAAAGTGACTTTGCGTCCCCTCCCTTTACTCACATTCTGAATTCTAAAGAGAAGCCACACCTAATGATTAAGATGTTGATTGCTTAATGATCTTTCTTTTAGAGCAGCAAAAGTTAAATTAATCCTTTTAATAAAATACTGCATCCATCACACTCCTTTCTTTTAGATGTTGAGTTGCAACATCTAAATTATTCCCTAGATGAGTAATTTAGTCTGAGAAGAGAAGATAATTCCTTGATCAGGAAGGAATGCCCAAAAGGTTAAACCCACTGTCTCCATCTGTGAGTTATGACATCAAAACAGTATTATGAAGCCACCTGAAACCCACTGTCTCCATGTGTGGATTAAAAATTACCAGGTGACTTACCTAGGAAACTTATCTAGGAAAAGCTTCAACCAGATTCCCCAGTTTCGTCTAGAAGGAACAAACATACCCTGGATGAGGACCACCACTTGAGTCTCTTGCTTCCACCTCCTGTGTGTTGGGGGGTGCTCCTCTCTCCCTTTCTATTTCTCCCTGATGTTCCCTGCAATTTTCCTTTTGGAAAATTTCCAAAAGGAAGGAAGGGAGGAAGGAGGAAGGAAGGAAAGAAGGAAGGAAGGAAGGGAGGGAGGGAGGGAGAGAGGGAAAGAGAGAGAAAGAAAGAAGGAAGGGAGGGAGAGAGGGAAAGAGAGAGAGAGAAAGAAAGAAAGAAGAAAAGAAGGAAAGAAGGCAGGGAGGAAAGAGGAAAGAAAGAAAGAGAGAGAGAGAAAGAAAGGAGGAAGGAAGGAAGGAAGGAAGAAAGAAAGGCAAGAGCCTTGGGAAGTTTTCACACACACACAGGCATTTCATCACAGGACTCCCCCATTGTAACTTTCTCAACACTCACTAGCTGTCATGCCATGTTTCTCTGTGCAGCACAGTCAGTTCCAGAAACTAAAGGATTTCTCAAAAGGTCAGAGTTGTGGACATATTGCTCAAAACAAACAGAGGAATGTAGAACTAGAGGAAACTCAGATAGATGTTTCTGAACTATGTATGTAATGTGTGTGCTGGGAGCTTTCCTACCAGGACTTACCAGTCATAGCCACACGGCTAAGGAGGGAATGAAAGAAGCTGCTTCAATGCAAGACCTTCAGTGTCACTTCCCTCCCCACCCGTGCCAGCCAGAGCCCAATATTCTTACTCAGAGGATCACAGAAATATAACTAAAGAAGTCAGGAGTAGGGGGACCTAAGCAATCCTACCACCCAAACCAAATCTTGGAATTCCCATGGATAGGCCCTTGAGGTGATGTCAAGTTTTGTTGAATTCATCCTTTCCAGTTCTGTAATAACCCTTCTATCTTAGTCAAAATCTTGGGAGCCAGGTAACCTTCCAAGCTGAAGCCAAAAAAGCCATGTGGTAGATGTTTTAAAACTGATGTCTGGCCAGAAAAAAGGAATAAACTCTGTTCTGTACCAGAGAGATGGCTCTGAATTCTAACACAAAGCAAGCTATGTCCAAGTTAAAAGCCGGACAGAACCAGGTCAACCTGTGCTGGCTTGCTTCATTCAGATATCCAGCACTGGATGTATGTTGGTGGTAAACACAAGACTTCTCCAAAAGCAAATGACCTAAATAACTGTAAGGAGAAAGTAGGAGAGAGTAGGAAGAGAATCTGTAAGATTCTTTTTATGGGGAGTGGGGGCAGTCCTGGGGTTTAAACTAAGGACTTTGCACTTGCTAAACAAGTACTCTACTTCTTGAGCCACAACTCCAGCTCTTTTTGCTCTGGTTATTTTGGAGATGGGGTCTTGCCTTTTGCCAGGCCCAACTTGGATCCCAATCCTATTAGTGCTCGGATAACAGGCATGCACCACAGTGCCCAGCCTTCTCTGCTGAGTCAGAGTCTCAAGAACTTTTTGCCTAGGCTGGCCTGAAACCACAATCTTCCCTATCTCCATCTCTCTTGAGTAGCTAGAATTACAGGTGTGAGCCACTGATGCTCAGCTGAGAATTTGTAAGATTCTTAAGAAACAAATCAATCCATGGCCAAGTATGAATTTCATTTGTACTATGATTCAAAAAAACTGAAAAAATTATGAGCCAGGGAAAATTGAATACTGACTGGATATTTGATATTAAAGAGCTAGCTTTGTGTGATAATGGATGGAATTCGGTTATATCATTCTTGTATATGATTCTACTTCATTTAGACACTGAAATATTTATGAATGAAATGATGCCTGGAAATTGTATGCAATACAACTGAGTGAGGATGAAAGGTATAGAGGTTGTAAACAAGATGGTAATGAGTTTGGGGGCTCATATAGTCTATCTACCATTCTACATGTTTTATTTTGCATGATAAAAATTAAAATATATCAAGTATAGGGTAGAAGGCATAGGGTAGTCAGGTATTCATACTTCACCTTGAACTCATCCATGGAGACTCCCTCTTATCTTCAAGATCATTGCAGGGTCCATGCCCATCATGGTGAACCCAGGTGTTGTGCTGATGGGAATATTTTTTAAAACCTTTGGGAGACAAATAAGGAATTCATCCAATCAATCTTCAGTTAAAAAACTCAGGAGCAGCAGCTTGGGTAGAGCTGAGCAGCTTACTGTTTTGACACCTGTGTTTTATAAGCATTCCTAATTGGGTGATGAGATTCACTACCACAGCTACAAGGTGGCATCTGGACACATGGACAACCAGTGAGTACTGCCAAAGGGGAAAAGGCAGTGGGGAAGACCACCAGGAACAGGGACTGAACACTGAGTCAGGGCAGAAAGAAGACAGCAAAACCCTGCACCTTACTGGTAGTTTTGCCCAGGGTAGGTTCTTCCTAGAAGAGGGAAGGAAATGACCCTTATACTCCCTACCCTCCAGATGCTCTGCCTTCCCCGACCCACTCCCCCACCCCAAACAGCTCCCACAGGAGAGGGAGTGATGGTGTCCAGGAGGCTGAAGCCACCCAAATTCGAGATTAGGTCACAGAGGGACGTGAGGAACACCCTAGATCTCCCCTTCCCATTACCAGGAAGAGCTGAAGTAACACCCCAACCAGCCATCAAAGAGAACTGTAGACCCTGAGGTTATGTTGTACAGCCTTTGAGATGTGTGTTCTAACAGCTCAATGGATAAGAGCAGTCCTAAGGATGGGTATCTTGGCTAAAATAAAGTCAAAATAACTGAATGAAGTGATACATATTTATACTAGTGGTTGAAAAAGAAACTTGCACAAGAACAAATTTATAATACTTTAATAATTTAAACAGAACCAACTTCAGAAACACACATACACATACATAAAATCCAAACATACAATAAAATTGAACAGTATATTTAAATGCATCAAATTCTTTAAAATCTCCAAAATGGATTCAATGTCAATGGATAGGAAAAGGAAGTTTTGAAGTACTACAGACCAGAGTAAATCAGAAAAGGTCATTACTTTGTATTTACCAATGAGACAACAGCCTGTGGACATATCAGACATTCGTAAGAACACTTCTAGGAAATATCAGAATAGATAGTCATTCAAAAGGAATGCAAATGATCTCAAAAATGTGAATTTATAGCTAACAATTTCTTTGGTCCTCCAAGTCACACTTTTTTTACTTTAAATACCAGACATGACTTGAATGCTTAGAATTCTACCTAGAAACATCTAAATATTAAGCAGACAAATATTTATACCATGTTAGATTTATGTAAGGACTCAAAATCAACCACCACTGTACTTTAGAAACTCCAAATATATAAAAGGCTAGGGAAAAGTAGAGAGATTTAAACATGAAACAAAACACCTCTGCCATCTTGGTGCATCGTAAACTAAATGGCTGAAGTGGCAGAGATGGACCGACTACCAAAGTGAAAGCAAGCAGTGTGGCTTATTCTTTTGAAGAATGAAGAGCGCAATGTCAATCAAATGAGAGACTGGTGAGATCATCCTGTCTGTGTTTTGTAGGGGAGTTGAGAGTACTTTGTTTTAATTTGGCCCACACTGCCCCAGTGGAAGAAATGTTAAGATAAAGAGAAATAAGGCAATAGTTTCTTGGACTGAAATATCTATGCCACCTGAACAGAGGTTCCCTGAAGGCAGGACCCATGAGGACCAGGCGCAAAACAAGATTGGAGGTCCCCTGTGCATTTTCACAGATACTAACAGCACAGTTTGCTCAGAACAGAGGCCACAGGCCCCGAGGCCAGCTACCCTCAGCTCACCATGAGCATCCCAGGTCCACAGAAGCTAGCGCTCTGCAGACCTGAAAGGGATGGGCACTCCAGAAATACTTAGAAAAAGATTTCATAGAATAAAAACAAACAAACAAGAAAAACTGCTTTGACGCACCTACATTGTGGAACACACAAGGTAAACGCCCAAGAAAGCTGACGACTAGGTACGTGCAGTGTCAGTGCTAACCTTATAAAATAATGGCTTCTTAAAAAAGGCAAAAGTATAGTCTAAATGGTGTGACATTCTCATCAAGGCACAGAGAGTTAAATTCTAAATCCCTGTATGATGACATGAGAATGAACTCGTAAACAACTCCAGGAACTAATTCCCCGTACTCAAATTTTAAAAGAATAGAAGAAGGTAGAAATGTGGATTTATAACTTACAGTAAAATTTAAAACACGTATATTCCACCACCCTCCCATGGAGACTAACATTACAAGGGCATACTAAATAAAAATAAAACAAATAAAATGCCACTGGTGGTTTAATAAACATGGCCAAAGCGGAGTTTGAGTTGATACAGTGATGCTGCACGGTGTACAAACATTATTTTAACACTTTCAGAATTATACCATTTCCGCTGGAAGAGGAAAAAACAGCGTATTGGCCTAGTGCTCTCCCACGCCCGGTGCTCCTCTGCTGCTGACTCGGATTACTAGACAATTCCATCAAATGCATGAATTCTCCTCCTTACCAGCACCCTTGGGCTCTCTGCAAGGCAGTGGTTGTGCATATAATTTATACTCTTGGCAGTTCATACTAAGGTTGCCACTAAAAGGTGGCAAGAAGAAAGTAGGGCTTACCCCTTTGTAGATTATTTTATTCAACTTTCTATAAATAATTTTTAAATACAATTAGTGACGAGGAATAGAGCTCACATGTATACCAATTGAAAATGGAATGCTAACAATTGAGATGGACAGTGGCACTAGCAGCAGGGTCTTCACACCACAGCGCACTCTGACACTCAGCTCCTAATGAGTGTCAGGAACTCCTCCCGTGTCTTGGGGTCTTCCCGGAATACACCCAGCATGGTGCTAGTCACAGTTTTGCTGTTCATTTTCTGCACTCCTCGCATTACCATACACATGTGTCTGCAAGACAAGACAACAAAGGTTGTTTACAGGAGTCATTTTGGCTTTCAAATAAAAAGCAGGCCAAAAGATTCATCTGAGCTTACAGAACCTAGTGTAGCATGATATCCCTTCATACACAAATGTTACCTAAACTTTGTTCCAAGTTTTTAAAGTCTTTTAGTTTTTGTTCTTCTGAGTGATTGAGTCTTTGATGCATCCAACATGAGGGGGGAAATGGAATTTTCTTCTTGGGTGAAAACAGTATAAATGGTCTACAAAGATGAAAAGAAATTCATAATTCTTGCTTGGTCCACCTTCAGGACCAAGATGGCAGCATGCTAGTAGCTTAGGTGGTCAGAGAGATGTTGAAGTTTGCTGCTCTTGCAAGGAAGAATCCAGGTAATGGGACCACACAACTTAGTGAAGCCAGACCACCTGCACAGAGCAGAATTTGTGGCACCCCATACACAGAATGGATGAAAATTGCCCACATGGTATATGCAGTTCTCATAATTCATTCTAAGTTAAGGAAGGGTGTGCATCTGCAGATGATTATGTTAAGTGAAACAAGCCAGGCACAGAAAGACAAGTACCACATGATTTCACTAATTTGTGTAATCCAGAAAAGTTGACCTCATAGAAATTGAGAGTTGAATGGTGGTTTCCAGAGAATGGGGGGAGGGTTGACTGATGAGATGGAACAAGAAGCTCTAGTAAATGCCTGCAGATATGATACACAATAACGTATTGCGTATTTCAAAAAGCTAGAAGAAAGGAGTTGGAATGTTTTTACTATAAAGAAATGATAAATAGATGGCTGGGGCCATAGCTCAAGTGGTAGAGTACCTGCCTAGCAAGTGTGAGGTCCTGAGTTCAAACCCCAGATTGCCAAAAAAACAAAAACAAGGAAATGTTAAAATGTTTGAGGAGATAGGTATGTTTAACCAGACTGAAACATTATACAATTTATATATACATCAAACTATCACAGGGTGCCCCACAAATATGTGTGATATTTATGTAGCATTTAAATTTTTTTTCTAATTATTTTCTCTTTTTAAAACAGTTTCTTCAGTTGCCCTTTGTATCAGTTCTTAGCTTTCTCTATCTTGCAAATGTGTTATATTAGAAAAACTGGACCAAAAAAAAGCTAAAGAAAAAAAGCAAGAGAAGACATAAAATGGCACTGGTTGTACAAATCTCTGTGACTAGCTTTGACTTCCTACACCTCTACAGTTTTCGCTAAAACAAACCAAAGCAAAAACAGAAGCCCCTCTTTCCCTGGACCCTGGTTCCTTTCTATCAGTAATCAGTGCATGACCACAGGCAAAATGGCCTAGGGAAGGAAGGCAACAGTGACAACTGTTTTTTCTAGGGCATCACTGGCCCTAGAAAAACCAAGCAGCACTAACCATCAGCTCAGTTACATGAACGCTATGACATTACCAAAGGCAGGTTTGGACTTACGTGGCTTCAACCACTACCCCAACTCCAGCAGGTTGCAAGGCTTCCGTGATGGCTACGGCGATTTGTTTTGTAAGGCGCTCTTGAACTGCAGGTGTGACAAAGATCTCAGTTTAAGTCTGACACAGATAGCTAGAAGCTTTTAGCCTCTAGAATATTTGAAATCTTAAAGAGCAGACTTCTGTAAGACACAAGGAGGCCCCTGTTCAATTTTCCCACCTGCACTACAGGGAAACCCCAGGAACCTCTTGGTCTCCAGCATCTCTGCAAGGAAAGGACTAAAATGGTGGTGATGTCTGACATGTGCAGTAAGACTGACAGAACACTGGCTAACAAGCACCTCCACTGAGGTAGAGGGGAGCAAAGAAATAGTTGCAATAGTATTAACAATGGGCTGATTATTAAATTGTTGAAAACCAACAACTTAACCTGAATAATGGCAGTTCCTGTGCTGATGGAAACAACTTGTCTTTGAACACATACAAGGGTGTTCACTGAAGCATTGCAACTATTGGAAAACTGACAAAATCCCCACATGTCTATTGGGACAGGAGTTAATGAAAGTGAGCCATGGTACATACAACGGAATTCTAAACAGCCACCAAAATGAATGAGATAGTTACATGTATGTGGAAAATGTTTAAGAGCTGTTAAGTGGGGAGAAGTAGGGAAAAAAGAAAGTGAGGCCAAGTGGATATAATATAAACCCACTTTTATCTAAATATAACATAAACTTATTTGAAAATGTTGGTATATGCATGGAAATGTGAAGGAATATGCTGATATGACAGGGATTTCTTCTTCAAGCTTGAAATACAGATATTCTTTCCTGGGGATTTTTTACTTTCTGTCATATTTATTATATTTGTAATAGACCAAAACACTTTTTCTGAAAGAAGCTATGTTTTCTGTAAAACATTTTTAATAAAACTTGCAGAGGCTTACCTTGAAGTCTTCTACTATAGATTTCTACGATCCTGGAAAAGAAACAGTTGTTGTAATTAATCATACACTGTTTGAAGGGAAATTGACAAGACTTCCTCATAAAACAAAAAGAACTGCGTGGGAGCAATAGTGGGGTGTGGAAGGGAATAACGCTTATGGGAAGAGGAGAGATATGAGACCCACAGGGAGACGGGAGACACAGTCTAACAGAGACCACCAGTCACTACACAGTGGTGCTTCCTTATGTCGCTAAAGAGAGAGACAGAACTCATAGGTCTCCAAGTATAACATTCACTTAGGAAGAACACAATTAGAGGTAACAATTTTTTAAAGGGCCCAAGTCATCAATTTTAAGCTAAGTCAAGTGTTCTAATTAATCATATTGTTTTATCAGAGCTTAAAGATCAAGCTAAAAATTTTAAAAAGGCTATTTGTATCTATTAGGATAATCCAATCAGAACAGATGGCCTCCCTAAATAAAAGCCTCCTGATCTTACAACACAATCTGTGAGGCAATGGATTCTCTTCTGTCTAGTCATGAAATGCAAAGATGGTGATGGGAATTACCTGTGTGAAGATGACAATTCATGCTAAGGACCTTTTCTCTAAAATTTGACCTTTCAGTCAAATTTGGACTCAGCTGAAGTGTCATTTCCCTGATGAGGCATTTTATGGCTCTTCTGCCACAACACTTGCCAGATAGGACTGGCAACTTGAAGCTGGGGTGGCTCAAGTGGTAGTGTGAGAGGCCCAGAGTTCAATCCTCAGTACTACCAGAAAGAGAAGGCGGTGGGAGGGGAGGAGAAGGAGGGAGCAGAGGGGGAGGAAGAGGACTTGCTGGTTGAGATAGGATCTCCCTAACTTTTTTGCCTGTTCCCCTCTTGCTTGAAGGATAATTTGTTTTTGTTTTGTTTTTTTTCTTTATTCATTTATTCATGTGCATACATTGTTTGGGCCATTTCTCCCCCCTGCCCCCCGCCTCCTCCCTCTCCTGCCCGCCCCCCCCCCTTGCTTCCAGGCAGAATCTGTTCTGACCTTTTCTCTAATTTTGTTGAAGAATAGACATAAGCAATAATAAAAAAGACATAGTGCTTTTGCTAATTGAGATAAGGATAGCTATACAGAGAGATTCCTAGCATTGCTTCCATGCACAAGTGTATTACAACCCAAACTGATTCATCTCTACCTGACCTCTTCACTACTTCCGGGTCACCTTACCAAATTGACCTCTGTCATTTTAAGGTTACTGTATTAGCTCCTCTGCAGTTGGGATATCAAAAGCTTTCAAGTTTTGGGTTTCCTACATATCCCCATTCCTCCCATATGTGCTCTCCCCTTAGTGTGTGACCCAAGTCCAACAACATTACTGCCTTTGCCCTAGATCTAAAGTCTGCATATGAGGGAGAACATAAAATTTTTGGTCTTCTGAACCTGGCTAACCTCGCTCAGAATGATATTCTCCAATTCCATCCATTTACTTGCGAATGATAAGATTTCATTCTTCTTCATGGCTGAGTAAAACTCCATTATGTATAAATACAACATTTCCTTAATCCATTCGTCAGTGGTGGGGCACCTTGGCTGTTTCCATAACTTGGCTATTGTGAACAGCTCTGCAATAAACATGGGTGTGCAGGTGCCTCAGGAGTAACCTGAGTTGCATTCCTTTGGGTATTTGAAGGATAATTTGTTGAAAGGTGTATTGGGAGTAGAATTTTAGTTTGACACTGATAGTTACCTGCCTTTCAGTATTGTTGTTGGCAAACCAATTGTCAGTCTAATAGTTAATTGATATTTTTCTCTGTGGCTGCTTTTATGACATTTCCCTGTGGCAATTTGCTATGTTGACTTTCAGTAGGGATTTGAATTTATTTGCCTTATTTGGGATGTATTAGACTTCTTGAATCTGAAGACTTGTATTTCTCATGTGTTTTGGAGACTTCTCAGGCATTGTCTTCCTAATACTGTATCTACTCCATGACCTCTGTCAGCCCTCAGGATTCCAGTGAAGGGCATATCAGACACTCTTAGTCTTGGTCTCTCACACTCTCACTCATTCTCTGCCTGTCTCTGTTACACTCTATGATGACATAACTCAGATCTTTCTTCCACTTCACTATATTTCCATCTGTGCCTAATCTGCTAGTTAATGAGCACATTGGGATTTGGTGTCATTTGTCATCTTTGTTTTATTTCTGGAAGTTAGATTTGGTCCTTTTTGCAATCTTCCTGGCTACCTCCAAAAGTTTCTCATTCCTTTGTCAAACTTTCAATCCTCTTATTCTTTGATACACTTGTTTCATATTCTGTATCTAGTAACTCCAACCTCTGCCCTCTTTGTCCATTGTAGCTTATTTTCCTTTACTGCTGATGAACTCATGTGCCATAGAACTTCATTTGTGAGAATTCTTTGAAGTCTAAATAACAGCACATCAGAAAATGTGTGCTTTTCTGCTAGCTGCCTTGAAGGCTACCTTCTAAGAGCCATTTTAACTAAATTATTGTCTTGGAATTTTGGTTATTTTTTGGGGGGTGGTTGGTTTTTTTTTGTTTTGTTTTGGTGGTATTTAGGTTTGAATTCAAGGCCTTGCACTTGCTAGGCAGGCGCTCTATCACTTGAGCCACTCCCTCAGCCCTACATTGGGCTTTTTGAAGGCATTACAGGTAATGTTAATTCAGACCCCAACCTTGTGACACATGCCTATGTCTCTTTTTTCTTCTCCTGCCCTTCCCAGAACAAGAACAACAGTTAAATACCTCCTCTGATATGGGGCGGGGATAGGCGGACAGAGCCCAGGCTGTGGTTCTCATGCTGCCCCCCTCTTCCTGTGTCTTTTCACTTATGTCCCCCAGTGTGTGAGATGTACAGAAGTGTCAGGAACATAATTGCAACCAAGGTTGATTTTAATATAAACTACTCATATCAAAATAAACTCTGGGTTTGAAAACAGTATTTCAACTAGCCTGTTAGATCTTTTTGACATTGACAATTTTTACAAATGAGATTAATTTATAGCTATGAGCTAGCTTTATCAGGCCTTGTTATCAGGAACAGGCAGCCTCATCAAATTAATCAAGGGGCTTTACAGGTTCTTCTATGCTCTTGAATGATTAATACAGCAGACATTAGTGGTTGCTTGCCAGTTAGGAAAGAATGTCTACAAAACTAACGAGGTCTAGCCTCTTCCTTCCTGCCCCCAACATTAATTTGAGTTTTTCTAACGGCTACTTGTATATTCAGGTTTTCTAATTCTCAGTGCACTTAGTGCATTCCTTTCTCTCCTTTTTTTTTTTAATTTACTCATAAAGATTTTTAAAGTTTTTGTTGTTGTTTCAGTACTGGAATTTGAACTCAAGGCAAATGCTAAATCACTTGAGCCATGTCCTCAGCTTTTTTTGACTTGGTTATTTTGAAATAGGGTCTCAAATTTATGCCAGGTCCAGCTTGGACTGCCATACTCCTATTTATGCTTCCTCTGTAACTGGGATGATGGACATGCACCATAACAGTCAGGTTTTCATTAGTTGAGATGGAGTCCTGAAGACTTTTTGCCTGGGCTAACCATGAACCATGATTCTCCCAATCTCTACCTCCTAGGTTGCTAAGACTACAGGCATGACCCACTATGTCTGGCTAGATTTTTTAAGTTTTTAAGGCATCTTTTTAGTTATTATTTCCTCTCTTTCCTAGATATTAATGTGTACCCTCTCAACTAGACTTCCCAGCAACCTTTGATACAAGATTTTCAACTTTCAGACTTGTGATTTCTATTCTTTTGGCATTTAAAAAATTATCTTAATGACTTTCAACTTTAAAAGCTGTAGGGAGCCAGAAAAGGAAAAGCATCATTAACTCTGTACTTTAGAAAGAACATTCCAGCCACCCCTGAGTGCAGATTTAGGAGGCCTGAGAGATTAGGGCACAGAGATTCAGGAGGAAGCTAAGAAAGGTCCAGCATCCCAGAGGGGTTGGTCAGCACCTCAGGCCACAGCCGGCAATGAACATCCAACAGCAGTGAATGGGCTCTTCCTCATCCCCAGACCAAAATACCTCCACATGGAGCAAAGACTTAAATATAAAAATGAGGCCATATAAATGCAAGAAAACAAAAAGTTTATGAGTACAAAAAAGTTTCAATTTCTTTATGGAAAAATACTGTAAAGCAAAATCAAAAGAAATGACAAGTTGGGGAAAATTACTTATGTCACCTGACCTACATGTGTTAATGTTCAAAGAGCTTGTGCAAATCAGTAAGTGAAAGGTAAGCAACAATTATCTTCAGCCATGAGGGAAACCGATTCAAAGCTACATTAAGATTCCATCTCACTCTAGACAGAATGGCTATTATAAAAAAAAATAAAAATAAAAAATGCTGGTAAGAATGCAGGGGGTATGCAACTCTTATACACTGTTGGGGAAAATATAAACTAGTACAACCACTATGGAAAACAGTATGGAGGCTCCTCAAAAAACTAAAACTAGAACTGCCATATGATCCAACAATACCATTCCTGGGTATATATCCAAAGGAATATAAGTCAGCAGAGAATAGAGACACCTGCACACCTATGTTTATTGCGGCACTATTCACAACAGCCAAGCAATGAAATCAGCCTGGGTGCCCATCAGCAGATCAATGATTAAGAAAATGTGGCACACATTTTCAGTCATGAAGAATGAAATTATATGTTATTTGCAGAAAATGGATGGGACTGAAGATCATCATGTTAAATGAAGTAAGTCAGTCACAGAAGGACCAATATCACATGTTTTGCTCATATGTGGGAAGTGAAGGGGAAAAAAAGACCTAAAAGGAGAAGAGAGACTTAGGGACTGGGAAGGAGAATAGGGGAGTGTGGGGTGAAAGGAAGGGTAAACATGATCCATGTACAATATAAGCTGGCATGGAAATGTCACATGAAACTCATTAGTCTGTAGTGAGTCAATAAATATAATAAAAATTAAAATAACAATGAAAATGTATCTTCAAAGGGGTACCTGTGGAGGCAGAAGAGGAGATGGCAACCCCTG